CCAAACAGGTGTCAGATGCATTGCTCTGCTTTCCTTTGGACCATATCGGCAAGGCTGAGAGGGGAGATCTTGTCATCTGAGCAGCCCAGGACCTCTGCTTGTCCCACGAGGAAGTCACTTCAGTGCTGCAAACACAGCAGTTTGATTTCAGCTACGGAGGTGCACTCCATTATCTCTTAAGACAGACAGACGCCAACAACTGTATTTGGTATCTGGCTCTTTCTTAACCTTGCACTTTGAGACGCTGGGGGCAATCAAAGCTATCCTCTCTTCACCACCGCCCATGGATATCATCTAGACATCTCATATGATGAGCTGCCCCCAGCACTTTGGATATTTCTATTAAACAAGCAATTTGGATTTAACATATTTAAGTGTCAAGATGGGAAGAAGACGCCATAAAACAATCTGATCTAATTCAAGTTATGCTGATCATTCTTTTTTTAAAAAAAAGAAAGAAAGAAAGAAAATACCACAGTTGAGAAGGGATTCAGAAGCACGGTTAGTCAATCAAAGCTCTAGAAGGGAAGGATCATTGAAAGCAATGCGTGGCATGATAAATCACAGGGTCTGAGTTTATAGACTGCACGGGGAAGCTTTTATGGTTGATCTGATTAGAGAGGCTAGAAGCGATTACATTTGCACATACATAGCAGTTTTCTAAACTTGAAGGCTCATATAGTGCTGAACAGCAAATATAGTTCAAATTCATATTAAAATCTGGGGACTTTGTGAATGCCAGAGAAGGGACGAGGTGTTAGTTCAATAAAACCTGTAATGGCTAGCGTGCCCTAGGTGGGACAGTCAGGTCATTTTTAAACAACTCCTATCACCAAAGGGCAGGGTTATTTATATTTAAGTTCAGCCTCCCACCACCACTTTAAAAAGTGAGCTTTCAGAAGACGTGGATGTTGCTCTAATACAGTGATGGCCAAACTTGGCTCTCCAGCTGTTTGGGGACTACAGTTCCCATCATCCCTGACCACTGGTCCTGTTAGCTAGGGATGATGGGAGTTGTAGTCCCAAAACAGCTGGAGGGCCAAGTTTGACCATCACTGCTCTGATAGAAGCAAAGCAGAAACATTCCTCTTTAACCAGGACACCCAATGCCCTTTTAAAATGTGTTGGAGAGAGGGAGGGACGTGGGCATAGCCAGGAGGGGCAGGGGGGCAGTTGCTCCCCCAAATCAAGTAAATAAATAAAGATACTGTGGGTACAGGGTGGTATACAAATTGTAGTAGTAGTAGTAGTAGTAGTTGCATGTCAAAGCCCTGAACCTCCCCCCATTTGTTGAATAATAAAACACACAGACACCAGTATTTCAGGTTAATGTGATAATTAAGGCCACAACTTTATTGGTTACAGAATGTGAGCGGTATTGGCTTAGGCATTGGAATTGAACCAACTATATCTGACTCCTGCCTGCCATGCAGGAAGTCAGTAAGGGTCAACCACCAGTAGGTTGGAGCCCTGTTGATGTACATCAGGAGTCAGCAAACTTTTTCAGCAGGGGGCCGGTCCACTGTCTCTCAGACCTTGCAGGGGCCGGACTATATTTTGAAAATAATAATAATGAATGAATTCCTACGCCCCACAAATAACCAAGAGATGGAAATTAAATAAAAGCGCACATTCTACTCATGTAAAAACACCAGGCAGGCTCCACAAATAACTCAGAGGTGCATTTTAAATAAAAGGGCTCATTCTACTCACATAAAAACACTCTGATTACTGGACCGTCCACGGCCAGATTTAGAAGGCGATTGGGCTGGATCCAGCCCCCGGGCCTTAGTTTGCCTATCCATGATGTACATCAACTGAGAGCTCACCCAGGGTTCCCGATGGGGTCATGGCATGGCCCTAGCCCAATAATAATAATAATAATAATAATAATAATAATAATAATAATATGTAACATAAGAAGAAGCTGCTGGATCCGGCCAATAACCCATCTAGTCCAACATCCTGTTCTCATTGTTGCCAACCAGATGCCTGTGATAAACCTGCAAACAACATCCATGGGCACAAACGGATGTATTTTTGGAGCTCATTTTGGTCCATTTCCTCCCATTAACTCTGATTTACAGCACAGTCCTAACCTGATTTGCAGAGCAATCCTAGCCATGTCTTGCTCAAGTGTAGGTCCTGTTGAATTCAGTGGGGCTCACTTACTGTGTAAAGGTAAGAGGAATTCATCCCCATTTCCAGAAAATCGAGAGATCTCCTCAAAATTATCCTGTTTGGCTTCCAATGGTGAATATTCTGTGGATCTTGTCTGGCTGTCTGAATATTCTGGGAATATTTTATACTCAGCACCAACATCTGACATCCAAAGATTTTGCAGTCAGCATTTGACAGGATCTGACAACTGCTGGCAGGGAGCAGATTCCAAGGCTTGACAGTATCAGAGATGTGTAGCAGTCAACATTTGACACTGTCTGACAGCTGGCATGCAATAGCAGTCAAAATGTGACCGTCCTGGTGTTGAACTGCAATCCAATTGAATAAATCCTACATTAAGGCCATTAATTCATGTAACCGATCAAATAAGGCGATTCAAAAAAATATTGATATCAAATTTCAGTTTGAAGATTTGGATTTTGAATTTGGAGGTTCAATTCTGACATCAAAATATCATTTTCAATTCTGACATCAAAATATTGTTTGTGATCTTTTGGAAATGAGTTCATCTTTTTAGATTTTGGCAATAAATAATTTAGTATTTGATCGCCAAAGAATAGATGCTTTTGAATTATGGTGCTGGAGGAGACTCTTGAGAGTCCCATGGACTGCAAAAAGATCTTCTTAAGGAAATCAGCCCTGAGTGCTCACTAGAAGGACAGATCCTGAAACTGAGACTCCAATACTTTGGCCACCTCATGAGAAGAGAAGTCTCCCTGGAAAAGACCCTGATGTTGGGAAAGACTGAGGGCGCAAGGAGAAGGGGAACAACAGAGGACGAGATGGTTGGACAGTGTTCTCGAAGCTACAAACATGAGTCTGACCAAACTGCGGGAGGCAGTGGAAGACAGGAGTGCCTGGTGTGCTCTGGTCCATGGGGTCACAAAGAGTCGGACACGACTAAACGACTAAACAACAACAACAACATTTGATGTTCCTGCTAATCCATTTTCCTTCTGAACCGCTAGGCCTTCAGACCTGATGAAACCTGGCTTTGCCTTTAGCATTTTTTATCTTCTAAGGGTTTTAAAAAAATTAATTCTTAAAGAAAAATAAATAGTACTAATCCTTGCATTTTTATAGAACTGAATCACTTAAAGGAGGGGCAGGAAAACTAGCAAAACTGACTGGAAAAATTAGAGGAATGTCAAACCAGAAGGTATATAGGGAATGAAAAATATTTAAAGAATACTTTAAAATGTACTGTACGAACAATAAGATACATGTAGAAATAGAGTGATACAGGTAACCAAGAATTACATAAAATATAATAGTGGATTATATATCTACATACAAAACCAAATAATATGAATCTGTGCAAGGAATACAGATAATAAAAGTAGTATAATGAGAATTATTGGACGTTATATATTTTAATCTGTCATGTAAGTGTAATATATTGTATTTGTTTATGTTTGTTTGTTTGTTTCTTTATCTTTTCTTATTTCATTGTTTCTATTCACTTGTATCATTTTCTGTTTTATACGTTATGTAATTCATGTATATTTGTCTATGTGAAAATTAATAAAGATTTTCTTCTTTTTTAAAAAAAAGGAGGGGCAGGAAAAAGGAGAAGAGACAAAAAATTAAAAACTGCCTCTGGATGGAAGATCAGCAAAGCTACACATGGAATTATCAGATTACACCTCACATTGTGTAAGGGCATATAGACTCTCCTACTTTCATGTCCCAGTACATTTCAAATGATACTCCATTTTTCAAAGAATTTATTATCTCCTTGTCTACCTTCTCTGTTACCCTTTATTGTTATTATTATCATGCATTCAATATGCCAGACTCATAATAACCATTCCAATTTCCAGGGGTGTTTACAGTTATAGTTGATGGATATTCTTGCCGTGGTAAGGAAATGAATAATCATTCCTGGTCTTCTGATGTCGCTATTCATTTCACATCACCAAATAACACAATGAGAAGGACCAATGGTAATATAATCTGTTAGATTGCCTCTATATGCTTGAGGACTGAATTCCAGAATTTTTAGGTCTTTAGACATATGTAATAGACGTGCCTTGCTCATGTCTCCAAGTTGATCGACATTTCCGAAACATCTACAGTAATTCATTGCAAATGAAAAAGCCAGTTTATCCAAAACCAGGCTACATGAACCAGAAGGAGATCCCATTCTTAGTTTCTGATATGATTAGGGTGGTCATGTGTCCTACTTTGCAGAGAGCAGCCATCTATTTTGAAAGTGTCAACTATTTGAGGATCAAGGCTGTTTAAAAATAATGAACAATACAGAGAGAGAAAGAGAACAGGAGTTTTCAAGCTGGCCACCCACAGTAAATGGGTTGCCATATTTCAAGCAGTGAAAGTTGAGCAAAATCTCAAAATTGAGCTATTTTTAATGAAACTCACCAAAATCAACACTTCTGACACGGGCGGACATATGTGCGGATTTCCCCAGACATTTCAGCAATTTTTGCCCAGACACTGCTTCAAAGGGCCGAATACCGGCTATGTCCGGGAAATTCTGAACACATGGCAACCCCACACAGTAAGCCAAACCTAGTCAGTAGTCTAAGCAGGTGAACAAATCACCTGCCATCTCCCCCATAATGGTGAGTTGTATTGTATTCCTATTTAAACGACAGCAATCTAAGTCAAATCCCCTATGGATACACAGTGGAAGTGAGGAACAGGTTTAAGGATTTAGATTTGGTGGACAGAGTGCCTGAAGAACTATGGATGGAGGCTTGTAACATTGTATAGGAGGCAGCAACGAAAACCATCCCAATGAAAAGGAAGTGCAAGAAAGCAAAGTGGCTGTCCAACGAGGCCTTACAAATAGCGGTGTGCTCGCTTCGGCAGCACATATACTAAAATTGGAATGATACAGAGAAGATTAGCATGGCCCCTGCGCAAGGATGACACACAAATAGCGGAGGAGAGAAGGCAAGCAAAATGCGAGGGAGACAGTGAAAGATACAGGAAATTGAATGCAGATTTCCAAAGAATAGCAAGGAGAGACAAGAAGGCCTTCTTAAACGAGCAATGCAAACAAATAGAGGAAAACAACAGAATGGGAAGAACCAGAGATCTGTTCAAGAAAATTGGGAAGTAGTGGAGGACAGAGGTGCCTGGTGTGCTCTGGTCCATGGGGTCACGAAGAGTCGGACACGACTAAATGACTAAACAACAACAACAACAATTGTTTCTAAATGTGCATCTATACATACAAATTACAGTGTTCCTGTTTTCCAGGGATAGCCTCAGATTTACAGAAGCCATTCAGGTTTCTGATTTGAATCCAGAATGCCCCCTTTTCCTTCGGATGTCTCTATTTTTATCAGAGAAATGTTGGAAGGTATGGTATTATGCAATTCCCAAGCAAAAGAGGTACAACCTTTTGAAGACATCTGAAAGCAGCCCTGTATAGGGATATAGATAGATGATTGATTGATTGATGGATGGATGGATGGATGGATGGATGGATGGATGGATTGATTGATTGATTGATTGATAGATGATAGATAGATAGATAGATAGATAGATAGATAGATAGATAGATGATAGATAGATAGATAGATGATAGATAGATAGATAGATAGATAGATGATAGATGATAGATAGATAGATAGATATAAAATTGTAAGGTTTTATTATTATGTTTTTCTATATGTTGAAAGCTGCCCAGAGTGATCTGGGGGAACCCAGTCAGATGAGTGGGGTATTATTATTATTATTATTATTATTATTATTATTATTATTATTATTTTTATTATTATTATAATAGAACTTCCAAAGTTTCATTGGAGAAATGTTTGAGGGCATGAAATTATGAAATGTGAATTTTGTAGAAATTTGTCTCCTCTTTTCCCCCAATGCATAACTGGCCACTCTATATGTTATACACATATTCTTTTAGGGAGCTGCTTGTGTGAGACATCCTCTGTGTACAAATCATAAAAAGAATCACTATGGGCAATGCCAGGTTTAAAACTTATTTTGACGCAGTACATTTTCTATATACCGTATTGGCCTGAATACAAGCCGCACCCAAATATAAGCAGCACCTTTAAAATTGGGGGGGGGGGGTTAGGAAAAAAAGACAATACCCGAATATAAGCCACTCCCTTTAAATTACACAGGCACTCACGCCTGTTCTGTTTTACCATATGTCTGTTTCAGCAGTGATATCGTAAAAGCCCATTTTTGTAAGGTCGTGAATTTAAGCCGCACTTTAACTTTCCACAGTCAGAATTTGGAGGGGGGAAAGTGTGGCTTATATTCAGGCCAATATGGTATATTTTAACATGGATAGAAGAACCATTACCAGTTCAAGAGGGGGAAAGAAGAGCTGCGTCCATTGGCAACATGTCCAATCTGCCATTACTTGCAATATCTGCAGTCGGAAGGCTACTCTGTTCAGGAAATCTCCTCATGCTTTGCGTGCCACCCCCTTGTTGATGAATAAGACACAAGGACACAGATATTAGGTAGATGTATATGGTCTGAAGCTCAACATAAAAAAAAACACGAAGATCAAGGCTACTGGGCCCATAACCTCCTGGCAAATAGAAGGGGAAGAAATGGAGGCAGTGAGAGATTTTACTTTCTTGGGCTCCATGATCACTGCAGATGGTGAAGCCAGTCACGAAATTAAAAGACAACTGATCCTTGGGAGAAAGGCGATGACAAACCTAGACAGCATCTTAAAAAGCAGAGACATCACCATGCCAACAAAGGTCCGTATAGTTAAAGCCATGGTTTTCCCAGTAGTGATGTATGGAAGTGAAAGCTGTGCCATAAAGAAGGCTGATCACCGAAGAATTGATGCTTTTGAATTATGGTGCTGGAGGAGACTTTTGAGAGTCCCATGGACTGCAAGAAGATCAAACCTATCTATTCTGAAGGAAATCAGCTCTGAGTGCTCACTGGAAGGACAGCTGAGGCTCCAATACTTTGGCCACCTCATGAGAAGAGAAGACTCCCTGGAAAAGACCCTGATGTGGGGAAAGATGGAGGGCACAAGGAGAAGGGGACGACAGAAGACGAGATGGTTGCACAGTGTTCTCGAAGCTACCAGCATGAGTTTGACCAAACTGCGGGAGGCAGTGGAAGACAGGAGTGCCTGGCATGCTCTGGTCAATGGGGTCACGAAGAGTCGGACATGACTAAACGACTAAACAACAACAACATTTCTGGCTCCTGCCCATCACACAGGAAGTCCCATATGGGTCAACCACTGGTAGGGGGAGCCCCGTAGATGCAAACCAACTCAAGCTCCCCCAGGGTTCCCGATGGGGTCATGGCACGGCCCTAGCCCCACCCCGGGCTTCAGACAAGATCCACACACCCCGGATTCCTTTAACGGAATACCCTTAAACTTGAAGGGGGCAGGTGATGGCCACACCTCCACTGCCCCAACACATGATCAACCAATGCCTAACCGCTACTCAAGCCCAAGGCTCGTTGCCAAATACCCTCACATCTGCAACCAATCCTTCACACCCTCTGCAATATCAGCCAACCAGACATTGTTCCCCCAATCGGAAAGATGTAAGCCATTATCTCTAAATAAGGCCATCTTGCCTTGTTTGCGCCTCAGTTTAAATGGGGCCAGGCCACACCTCCCCAGGCAGTGGATTGGCTGGCTGGCTGATGTGGCTGGGAACCTCTGGGTGACATGGGACTGTGTCCCCCACCCCCAGGGGGGAGTGGGTGGCCATGTGGTCCACTGCAACTCCTCCCTGCTGTGAAGCGGAGCGGATTTCTTGATCTTTCTGTGGTGGGTGGGAGATTGAATGCATAAAGCTAGAATTTCCCCTTCTCTCTCCTGGAACGCATAGTAAGGGAATCATGTGACCATGGGGCATTATCATATTGTGCTGCTCTTTTTCCACCCTCACTCAACTTTACTGATTCCAGTTGGAGAAATGGAGAAATATGCAACACGAAGACTTCACAAGAGGATACTATTGTGGTGGCAACTGCCTTTCGGGTAATATTCAGCTCTTCTCTAAAATGGTGCAATTCATTTGGGGAACTGAAGTGTGTCAAAAAATGAAGATACAGAACAACTGAGACTGCCTTCTTCAGAGGAACTATTTCAGTTGAAAAATGTCAAAGCAGAAACTCGCTTTAGAAGCAATGTTCCTTTATCACGAATACGATATCCTCTTGGCTAGCTCAGAGCTGAAGCACACTGACTTTTGTGCTTTCCCAAGGAACTCTCAGCTAAAGCTAGAAGTGCATATTAAATCATTTTTTCTAACAATGGGAATAGGTGGTCTCTCTTGGTCTGTAATTGATCCTTCGCACAGTTAAATAAAGTGCTAATTTATAAAATGTATGGTACAATTCCTGCAAATTATCTTCTGCTGATCTAACTAGGCTTTCCAGTTTTAGCATTGTTCAGATTTTTTTTTTAAAGTCACTCAAATCAACATTCATTTTCTCGAAGGGTTACACTCCATTGAAGGAAAATGTCAATTATTCCAGAAATGCTAATGCTACTGTTAAATAAGAAATCCAAAAAAATCTGTGTGAAATACCCCAGCTGTACCAACCTGAAAGAACAGAGTTTTCCATTGAGCAATGTGAGTGCCTGGAACCCCGGGAAACCCCATAAACTCGCCAAAAGGTGATTTAGAAATAAACTGTACATACATACTTCATGCCATGTCCTTCCAACTCACATTTCTAGTGCTGTATATTATTAATAAATTGTATACAGCTGCCCCAGTGCTCTAGAAATTAGTAAAGGTAAAGAGACCCCAGACCATTAGGTCCAGTCGTGACCGACTCTGGGATTGTGGCGCTCATCTCGCTTTATTGGCCGAGGGAGCCGGCATACAGCTTCAGGGTCATGTGGCCAGCATGACTAAGCCACTTCTGGCGAACCAGAGCAGCGCATGGAAACGCCGTATACCTTTCTGCCGGAAGTTCCAGAAATTACACAGGGTCTAATAATAAATACTTTTATTCTGTTAAAAGGACTAATGCAGGTGTTTCTAATTGACTCATTTTGAAAAAATATAGTAGATATTGGTAGTGGCAGATAAACCCCAGACAGTTAATTAAGGAGTCTCTCAGTGTCAGGCTGCTTTCAGTGACTCCTGGCTGGTTGCCCAGGCAGTATGAAGACAAGGAAAAGTTTCTTACAGTCCTTAGAACCCAGCCTCTTGGATAATGGTGTTGTCCAGAGTGAATTTCCACACACCCTTTTCTCCCACTTCCTTATTCTTCACTTCCACGTGATGCTACATGCCCTCTGTCTTTGAGCTCTTTGCTCTCCTACTTTTAAGGCTCGCCGGGTTCTGGGAGTTGGTGGGTCTGGAATGTTTTCTAGTGACAACATGTCAGCCAGCTGCTGCTCCAGCTCTGCCTGTTCCTCCTCTCCCATTATTTCCCAACTTTCCTCCTCATCTGCCTCTGAGCTGTGATCTCCCACAAACCCCTGTTGTAAATCTAGACTGTCTTCCTTTTCCTCCTTCCTGAGAGGGTCAGGATGGGGAGGCGGTCTCCAACATTCCTCCTCTTCTGCCCAGTTCCTGATACTCAGAGAGAACTTTACATGGAAACTTCTGGGTAGGGGAGGTTCGTGTACAGGTCTGTGCCTTATCATGTGTTAAGATGACAAAGTCATTGAGTTTTCCTTAATTTGAAGGCAAGTTATAATACTTCCAAATTTGTGTAGTTGTGGCAAAAACAGACAGAGGGGCTTCCTCAGCACAGCGTTGCACATAGACACACAGTGCTTTCCTTTGTTAAGGTAAATTAAACATAGGGAAAATGTTGTATGTAAAGCATTGCATATGCAACAATCACATGGACAAAAACAGACACCATTGAATTATCTTGTAAACACCATTCAGAAGGCCATGCATCTAAATTGTTCACACATTTTTTAATACATGAGAAGTTCCCCCCACCCTCGCCCCACAAGGAAGAATTAACTT